GGTTCTTAGATATCGACCGGTTTCGTCGTTTCAGTGGAGAATATTTCGCATGAAACTAAATGCGTCTGTTAGATCGGCACAGACCTTTTGCTATGTGTTAAGGGGGACATGAACCACGGAAAACTGAATACAAATCGCTAGACGGCGGGCAGACTGTTGACCTAACACACGAACGAACAGATGAGCTCATTAAGTGACTCCGCTGCTCCCCCCTGACAGGTGTCCCTGGGAAGTGGCTTACGGAAAAGTTTGGCCATTGCACCTATCACCGCACACTAAACATCTTCAAAAGACCTCCAAAGACTTATTTTTACCAGTTGATGCGTAATGAAACGCCTTCGGGCTGCCTATTGGCAGGATTCCCCGGGTACTCCAACGGTCACCCGTGCGCTCCTGTTTAGGAAAACCAACTGCGTAAAGACCAAAGTGGCCTGGGTGATCGAGGCAAATAAACTGGAAGTGGCTGTTCCCATTCTGACTATCTTTGTGTTCCCCTAAAACGGCACCCGCGGTAGATGCACTGGATCAACACGGGGGTTAGACCGGAGTCCGGCAGGCGTTATCGGGAATGTGCGCCCATAACAGATGCCACATTTGGGGGGAGGGGGGGGGGTGTAGTGGCGTGCCCATATGTAGGCGTACGCTGTGCCAATGGAATCCGTGTCACACCCCCTCCCTACCTATATTTTTGTTGGGGCATAAAATCCTGGCCAGTATGCGTTGTGGGTCAGGGTGCGTGGTGGTGAGGGTCCAGCGATGCCAACCACTTGCGTCCTCCTCCCCCGCCCCCAGTCTTCTTGACTTGGTTATGACATCGGGACAGGGTGGGTGGGGGGGGAGGAGGTGCGGTAGATGCTGTATAAGTCCGCTGTCAGAATAAGCTAGTTCATGCCCAAGTCATCGTCCCTGCTGTGGAGCACGCGGTAGACATCGTCGAAACCGACAGTCGGACTGTCTTTGGAGTGAACCCTTTGCGTGTGGCTACCTGTCCTCTCGGGGCAGGCAGATGTAGACCGTGCCCACTTTTACGCGTGTGCTGTCACCTCGTATATAGATGCTGCGTAAGGACTCTCAGGGCAGAGGAAGAGAGAGAAAGAGGGAGAAAAACGACTAGCTGTTGGACTTCGTTTGTCTGCATGCGCCTCCAAAAATACACTAGGACAACACTCTGGAGCCTACCTGAAAGCGTGATGTTGTACAAGGGGAGGAGTGGGTGGGTGGAAGGGATTGGGGGGGGAGAGCGATTGTGAGAAGAAAACGTATCAGAATGCACTTGGATGCCGTTTATTGTTGCTGTCGTTATGGAAAATCAGAGCGCTCTGCTGCACACACACACACACACACACACATTTGGACTACACCCAAAGGGTCGTCTGTGGGCTGGAGGCGGGAGAATGTAGATGTGGGGGGAAACTATCACGGGGATTTATCTGTCGTCCGCGGATGAAGTGGGTTAATGGCAGAATGCAAGCCACTGACACAGAGGGAAACAGACCCCGAATACAGCGTTCATCCAACCCAGGGGTGAAAATCGCACTTTGTGTAGGGCAAACTTCCTAACCCATCCCTGCGAGGCAGTAGGCCCTATGGCTCGAGATAGGGCTATTTTGAATTCCTGACCTTAGCCAAGTTCCGCGTGGCTGCATCATTTAGTAACCCAAATACATCGGACATTTACCGGACGCCTATGCCCTACGTACGGTTGAACAATTTTCGTGTGAAAACTTATACTACTAGTTTGTAGAATGGGAAGTACATGGTTTTTATACAGAAATGATTGCCTTCTACTAAAATTTTCATTGAAATTTTCAAGTCTGACCCTAAAAGTAATGAACTGGACACTTGAGACCAAGTCCTGCATTTAATAATTTCAGAAATTAGTAGCTTGATTGTTCTCTGCAGTTTATATACTTGAAACAATCTACAGAATTCTGATGGACTCGCTGGGGAGCCGAACCCCTGCAGCTATGTCATGGAGCAGCGGCAGAAACATGGGCGAACCATGTGTCTGGGCTTTTAGCTAGCAACCATGTTGGGAATATGGCAAAACCGTCGTATATAAAACTGCGGTTCCCGATCTTGCATCCTCTCCCATGTATGTCCGGGGACGCGCATCTTCGTCCCTATTGGCTATATATTTATGTATTTATATGACATAATCATGCCGTAATCCAGGCATAGGTATTAGCTAAAAGTCCAGACACGTGTTTCTCAGATGCTTCTCAAATGTCCATTGCAATTTCGGGTCTAACCCTGAAAGGTCATGCCTTGGGCCCTTAACTCTGGGCTTAATTATTTCGGAAATTATTACCTTGATATGTACGGTAGGTTACCTAACTCATAAAAGGTGCCAAAATTTGAGAATGATTGCTAATCACTCGCTAACCTACACCAGTGCGTGGACCCAATATCTTTTTTAATAAATGACAACTTTAAGGAAATTAAAAACATAAAAGAAACATCAAAGGTGATGTTACGTTGTTTAGAAATACCATTTATTTAGAAAAGTCAAAAACCTCTAAAAAGTAAAAAAATCGTTGTAATTACGCAAAAGGTACATGCAGAAAACCGAGTACATATGAAAGCACAACTAGAAATAATCATTTTAATGAAGTTTACATCTAAATACCCTTTAGGAACTAGTGTAATTTCAAGTACTGTAGTTTGCCAACAACCTTCCTTCTGAACATGGATTACAAAACGGTTTCCTGGGAACCCGTTGTATTTTCTACTCTTTTTTGTATTGGTTGAGATGCGAATTTAGTAGGGCAAACGCGATTTCGTTTGGGTTCGCCTATAGGAACGTCGTAGGAATAAATGTTTTCAAAGGTAAAATGTTGTTAGGAAGGGTAAGCGACTAATAAATTCAAATAGAACTGACAGGTGTAATCGGGAACATTCCATTTTGCCTATATAACGTGAAATTTTCTTCAATTACCTTGGCTTACACTTTTTGCTTGTTTTATTTGAATAAACAACAACTTTAGTAGAATTAAAAACACGAAGGAAATGCCAAAGGTAATGTTACAGTGTTTAGAAATATCAAGTGTTTTTTCCAAAAGGCGGGAGATTCCGGAAATGCCAGAAATGGATGTAATTTAGTAAACTTCAGTTTTCGGTGCACAGAAGGCCTGTCCATGCGAAAAACTGAAAAAATATGACAGCAAAAATTGAATAATGTTTAAGAGTAGTATTTCAGCGGAGTTTACATTTAAATATTCCTTAAGAATAAACGTGATTTTTGGTATGATGGTCTGCCAAGAGGTTACATTCTAAGTCTAGATTCAAAAACGGTTTCTTTGTATTTTTTTAAGATTTTGCGTCGATTGTGATGCGGTTCAAAAGGCAAACAGAATTTTGCTTGATTTCGCCGATAGAGACGTCAGAGAAACAAAAGATTTCATAAGGGCGAATGTCACCAGGCGGATCGGGGACTAACAAATTTAAACAGAACTGGCAGGTGTGATCGTAAACATACCATTTTGTGTTTCTTCCGTAAAGTTATTTCACACATTTCTTCTGTTCAGGACTACGTTGAGTTTCAAAGCAGCGTTGGGATATCGTTGAATCCTTTATGATTTCCAGAGTTTTCTATCGATTGTCCATAAAGACAGATTCCGTATTATGCGTTTATTACAATTTTCCAAAGGAGATACTTATTGAAGGCATTTACCGAAGTAACGAGTTTTTAGGCACCCTTTCCGGTGTAGAAGATCGTTTGGGTTACAGCTGAAGAGTCGCCCAAACATGAAACGTCACCGTCGAATAAAATGAGCGTCCACAACGAAAGTCCGCAACGAGTATGCCTTCGAGCAATTAAAAAACTGCCTCTAATAAGTTGCCTTTTTGGGTGGTATTTTGATGCAGCATTCCGTTGACGGATTTCTGTGCACTTTGTACTTTTGCACGGTGACGCCAAGAAAAAAATATGACAACAGTGAAGGTCACACGCCTTTTTGGCATGCTTATATACCTCACTTCATAAGGTCCGTGACATACTGATGATCCATAGGTATTTTGCCAAAATACCTATGAATTACGTGAGCCTGGTAACCATCTGGTGGATTCTAGGTGAATTACTTAGGAAATCCTGCTTGGGCAGTCAACTTACTGTATCAGATTTGGTGGATTCTAGACGTTGCAGTAGGCTGGACGGGTAACCCGACCCAAATGTGAGTAAACTCGCGTCGTCCAGGGGGGCCGCGTAGCTCAAGTGGTTAGAGCGTTGGTTGTACTAAAGCCTTCCCCTTACTGCGTGGGTTCGAATCCCACCGAGACGCCAAGTTTTTCACAGTTGGGTAAATATGAATACTGATGATCGGTAACGACGGCGAAACAGTCGTCCGCGTCCGGGCTGTTGCATTCTTAGCGAGCGAACTGCAAGAAAAGTGAGGTTTGATATGCTCAAAACTGAAAATGAGTCTTCAGAGGTAGGAACTCTGGTGTAAAAACAGAATTTTCCAAATAGCGAAACAGTTTCGCCCCATTTAAACAAGGCACTTCCTCCGTGTGTTATTACTACACTTTGGGCACCAAATTTCACGACTATTACTTTTAAAAAACGATGAAACGCCAGATTCTTCAAAAATAACCCGTATGTTAGAAAATCTATTCCCGCGGTTAGCATCGGCCAAAAAGTCAACTTCCAAGTGCGGCAAGCTCTGTCTAGTAAAACTCTCGAGATAAAATTACTCTCCTGGCAAAGAAGAACGCGCACATATGCGCGTCCGAAGTATTGGACAGGTATAGGCATTGGAAATTGTTCGAAAGTCTGGCGAGCGCTGCCATATATTGCGAACGTTTCCGAGGTAGTTACGCGTGTCTTGGAGCCGTTGGGTAGCAGCATCGCTCACAAGCCCAAAACGGCAATTAGACGTTTGGTCATGAGACCAAAAACACCTCTGCCACGAGGCGAAACAGCCAACGTCGTCCATCGGATCCCGTGCCGATCCTACGAAGCGAACTACGTTGGAGAGACCGGGAAATGATTGCAAACCCGTATGGACAAGCACGAAAGAGCTGTACGAAAAATGGATCAGCTCTCGCTGGTGGCAGAACATTGCGCAGCTTTTGGCCATGCCTTTGCCTTCCAAGATGCCGAAGTCTTAGGCCAAGGGAGAGATCAAACGGTCAGGGAGACGCTCGAAGCATGGCATACCACAACCACCTCGATTAACCGCTGCGTAGATTTGCCGGCCGTCTACCAAGCCCAAGGGATGAGGCGTCAGTCCAAGGACGGCAGTAGTCAAAACCAGACCAAACGAGAACACGGACGGGTATGGACAAGCATCGGAAATAGACGAAAACAGGCGGCAACCGGCGGCGAACGCAAACTCAGGAGACCGCCTACTTGGTCTGAACGCGAGCACTCCGCGAGAACGAACGACAATGACAGAGACCCCCAGTCCGATGTCAGCCCTGGCGTGACAACCACCGTGCACACGGTTACGGGCAGGTGTGAACGGTGCAGGAAGGCGATATACGTGGAGGGCGGACAACGGACAATGCAGACTAGAGCAATGGCCGCGGTCACCCCGACACCGCCCCCCTCCCCACACACCACAATAGATGAGGAGGGACCGATGCCACCATGACAACAATCACCAACCCCGTGATTCAGCGCGCTGGAAGTCAGTGACATGCCAGCACGAAGAAGAAACCCTTAAATTCTGTAATGCGCCTTACGCAGCCCACCTCCAACCACGGAAGCTTGCTTGCTTTCGAAACGTCAGGCCAGTAAAACCATGGCTCCTGTGGCCGCCTTATCTTCTCAGTTATGTCCCGGAAGGCGCATTTTCTTTCAATTATATATATATATATATATATATGTATTGAAAAACAGGCATCCCAAGAAGTATTATTAGAAAGGTGAAGTTCTTTGGGAAACAGCAAAATTTTATTGTGAATTTTCGAGACTGGTTCCCCAGCTCGTCTACAGACAACGGGTGTGCAAAAACAATTAACTTTTAGACTGAGTCTGGCAAAAGGAATCCATGATTGGTTAATGTTGTCATCTCGGGATTGGCTGACTCAGTTTGAATCTGCCCTTAACGATTTTGTATGTGTCATCTAAATCGATATGCTGGTTGATGCATGCCTCATCTGTGTGCATTGCCTCCAGGAATTCGCGGCCTTTTCTTGTTTGGCAGGCGCCAACAATGCGAGTGTTCTCCCATGCGAATGTATGCCCAGTGTCTAGTGTGTGCATGGCCACCTGGGATAGATGGTCGCGTCTCTTCACCGCTATATATATATATATATATGTATAATGTTAGGGGGCGCTCACCGATCGTTCATACGGAACTCACTCGTTCCGTTGTGCCTTATGGACTCTCTCTCGAGCCCAACCAGCAGCCGCACAGCGGCGCATGATATATAGGCAGAATGGTATTGCCGACAAAGACAAGGGAGACTGGAATGGCCATTTCTGGCTTATTAGCCGTCGTCAGCCAGCCATACCCAAGCCCGAAGTGTGGAACACCCGAGCCTCGAACTCGCGACCTGTTGGTTTAGAATTCAACGCCTCTACTCACCGGGCCACGAGCCCGTTGCCTTGTCGGTTTTCGATCGGGAATATACAATGTTAGGGGGCGCTCACCGATCGTTCATACGGAACTCACTCGTTCCGTTGTGCCTTATGGACTCTCTCTCGAGCCCAACCAGCAGCCGCACAGCGGTGCATGACATATAGGCAGAATGGTATTGCCGACAAAGACAAGGGAGACCGGAATGGCCATTTCTGGCTTATTAGCCGTCATCAGCCAGTCATACCCAACCCCAAGTGTGGATCACTTGAGATTCGTACCCGGGATCTTTGGTCATGGAGTTTGACGCTCTACCATAGGAGCTCGCTAAGAGTGCAACAGGCCAGACGCAGACATCTGTTTCACGGTCGTTACCGATCATCAGTACGTCATAGGCCTTATGAAGTGAGGTATATAAGCATGTCAAGTGGGCGTTTGACCCTCACTGTTGTGGGATCGAATGAGACTGTCGAGTTCAAGAAGCACGTGAACAGTGTAAACAAGGCGATAGACAAGTTAAGAAAGGCAGGAGCCCTCAAGAGGCAGGAAGCACTGGCCGCAAAAGCCACCGATGCCGACATGGCGCGCTTCTACGGTCTGCCAAAAGGGCATAAACCGGGAATACCACATATCGCAGCTGCGATATGTGGATGACACATTTGTTATCGTAAAAAAGAACCAACTAGAAACGCTCCACAATACCATCAACTCAACAATTTCTGGGATTCAATTCACACTTGAAAGGCAAGTAGACAACAAACTCCCATTTCTGGATGTTCTCGTGCAGCGTAAGGTCGACGGAACGTTACGCACATCCGCTTAACGAAAAGACACTTACGCTGAAGTCATTCTGCCTTATAAGAGCAACCAGTCAATTTCTCACAAACGGAATGCCGTAAACAGTCTGCTTAGTCGAGCAAAAACACATTGTTCGGATGAAGAAGGCTATCGGGCCGAACTGAACTACTTGTACGAATTATTTTCGTAAAATGGATACCCTAAGGATTTTGTACACAGATGCATGAGACAGCGAGAATCAAGGGAGAAGGAGCAGGGTAGTTCCAATCACACGCCTGAAATAAGCACATGGCGAACTCTTCCTTACATCAAGAATGTGTCTGAACTTGTCGAAAGACACTTAAGGAGGCACCAAATTCGAGTAGCGCACAAACTTACGACTACTTTGCGCTCTCAGCTGGTAAATCCTAAGGATAGGGTTAACCAGCTTAACAAGAAAGAGGTCGTCTACAAGATACCATGTGATGCATGTGCTGCCGTCTATTGTGGCCAGACTGGAAAATCCGCCTCAACACGCATCCATGAGCACCAGTTGGCAGTAAAGAGACGAGACCATCTGTCTCAGCTAGCCATGCATACTCTGGACACCGGGCACACTTCCTCTTGGGACAAAGCTCGCGTTTTCGCGGTCTGCCCTTTCAAGAAAGGCCGAGAATTCCTCGAGGCAATGCACTCTGATGAATCATGCATCAACCGGCATATCGAGTTGGATGCCGTGTACAGAAACCTGAAAGAGAAATGGAAGAGAAGGGAGCCAACCAGCTCAGGCTGATACACGGCGGCCGCCAACCGGCGCACACGCCGTTAGCTGTTTCTTGCTTTCACATTTGCTTTCCGCTTGCATCTGACGACGACCTGGGGAACCAGCGTCCAAAATTTACGCAATAAACCCTCTTGTCCCACAGAACCCATCTCTTTTCAACTTATATCGCTTGGGATGCCTACCTTTCAATACTTACATATATATATATATATCAAGTGAATAATTTCAGAAATTACTCAGTGCAGGACTTGGAGTTAAGTCTCCGGGACATGACTTTTTAGGGTCAGGACCGAAATTTCAATGAACATTCGAGTCGAAGACAATCAACTACTGTGGAATAACCACATAATGCCCATTCTACAAACAAGTAATACTACGAGTAGTATGAATTCCATATGGTATAGGTATTATACCGTACTCCCGACATAGATACTTGCTAAAAGCCCAGACACGTGTTTCGCCGATATTCTGCCGCTGCGTGACACAGCTGCGAGGGGTTCGGCTCATCAGTGTGATCCCCAGCGTTCTCTAGCGGTTTCTGGTATATGAAGTCCAGAGAATCATCAAGTGAATAATTTCAGAAATTACTCAGTTCAGGACTTGGAGTTAAATCTCCGGGACATGACTTTTTAGGGTCAGAACCCAGCACGATTCCATGGACTACCGAAGGTACACAAACCCGGTTTCCTCTTCCGACCTGCGCGGCGCACCAACATATAGTCCATTTGGCCCATCTGTCCTCCCTGCCTCCTCAGATCCCGGCATCGCGTGCGACACGAAAAAAATCGTTAAAACATCATCAAACACTCAGAAAACAATCGTGCAAGGAAATTTCTCCTCACTGATGTTAGGGCGACCCGAAATTCAGGACCTATTGCTCGTAGCTCAACGTTCGATGTCGGCGATGGGAGATCACTAGGTTATAGAACGCTTACGACGACTATAAACGGATGCAAGCCAACTAATTTGCACATCCCTGGTAGTCTGCAGATCTCCGGGGTCTGCCTGTGCCATTGTTCAGAGGCCAGCTATATCAGAACGTCCTGTCTGGTCCTGAATGCGGTGCCCTGGACTGAAGGTTGAAGAAGCTGGAGGGGACAATGATCGACGTGGCCAAAGCGTTGTCCGGCATTCTTGTTCGCTTTCCCACACTAATTCTCAATAAATGTGCTAGCTGTGAAACAATTTCGGCCTATCCTTATCTCTCTCCCCTTCTTCTTTTTCTTTTTATTCTTCTTCTCCTGGACAGGCGGCTCGTTGGGTGGACCTTAGCCTCATGGGTTGCCCCTCCTTCCAGGACCGGGCGCTACTGTCCAACCAGAGTTTAACAGCACTGTCAAGTGTTACATCTATGTAGAAAATCCTGTCGTTCTACCCTCCCCCCGGCGCCATCCATATATATCGGCCAACGATTGCCCTGTAACTTGGTGTTGCACGCCTGGCCTCCTCTTCACTGCGCCGTTGCCGTCGTCTTTCGCCCTTTTATTTATCGAGCAATCGTCTGCTGTCCCCCTCTCTCTCTCCCCCTGAATTACCCGCTGTGACGCTGGCCCAGATGCCAAGATGGACTGGCCGACCGACCGGCCGGTAGAAGTAAATATCAGACACAACACCTGTACCCATACTGAGTTTTTATTTTTAGTATAGCCATTTTCTCACTCCTGTCTGTAAACCTGTTTTGTTTCTCGACGCGTTCCGCGCCGCACTGCCCCGCCCCTCTCTGCTGCTAGTTTAGTCTCCTCCCCTACAGAATTGTTTTCGTCCCGATACTCCCCTCCCCCCCCCAACCCCGGCACCGACCTCTCTCCCTGAATCCCCCCCCCCTGCTCATTCGCATGGACAGTTTTAACTGACACAATGAAGCTCCCCTAGTTGTGTGTTATCTGGGCGCCAGTGGTTTTTGTTAACACGAAGGTGGTGAAGTTGTTGACTCGTTAGGAGATGGGTGGATGGGTGCTAGTGGACCGGCATTTTGATTGGTCAGTCAGGGACACTGGAGGAGAGTATGGAGAGGAGAATGAACTGATTTTGTTAGGCGGTGGGGGGGGGGTCTTCATAAACTTTGAAAACGGACCTACAGAAGTTCGGAAAGCCGTCGCAACAGTGTTCTAGAGATGTCAACAGATCCCTAGATGTTTACCGAAATTTTGGACAGCATCGGAAGGATAGTATGCATCGTTCCTCGCTGACTTTTATTTCATATCAGAAACACGTCTCAGAATCCGATGTTCATCTGATAAAGGTACAAAAACGAATGAATTTAATGAACAAAGCTTTGCACTAAAGCCACCTATATACTTATATGAAGACAGAATAACATTAGCGACTAAGAAAAGGGAGATGGGGGTGGCCATTTCTCGCCTATTAGCCGTCGTCGGCCAGCCATGCCCAACCCCGAGGTGTACAACCCCTTGGGGCTCAATCCCGCAACCCGTTCGTTAAAAGTCAAACGTTCCCGACCACTGAGACACGGGTTCGTTGTCCTGTCGGTTGAGATCGGGAATATACA